GTTTATCAAAATATTCTCCGTTAGCGTTAATGCACTTTTTCATATGAATTAACCAATTTTGAAAACATTTATGCCAGTCCTCTGTGACAATCTGTGAAACATATTTTTCATACTCTTCGACATCCTCTTCAAGTGATAAAAATCTTTGACCGCGCAACTGTTTCTTAACTTTTGGAAATAAATAAAAGTTACAAGGTGCTAGGTCGGGACTGTACGCGGGATGGCTCATAAAGTCAACGTTGTTCACCTTCAAAAATTCATTTGTATGTCTGGCCGTGTGAGAACTGGTATTATCGTGGTGCAAGATGATACGGCGTTTACGGTTATTTTTACGGAGTTTGTCAATCGGCAAACAAATGGTCGTGTACCAATCACTAATCACGGTACTACGATTCTCCAAAGTAACAGTAGCCATGTATCCAGTTTTACTAAAAAAAAGAAGCAATCGTCCGCTTAGAGGCACTTTGCACGCGCGCCATTTTGGTTGGTTTCGGCTCATCTCGAAAGACCCATACGCTCGATTGCTGCTTTGTTTTGGGATCGTAACTATAAATCCATGTTTCGTCACCTGTTACTATGTCCCACACCAAATTTAACGCCCCTTCTTTGAATCTGGTAAGCACGGCATTGCACCAAGTGACGTGATCCGTTTTTTGAGCCTCAGTCAATTTGTGTAAGATCCACCCAAGAGGACAGCATTTCACACCCAAATGTTTGCGTAGTATTGATTGTATTTGACTTATGCCAATGCCTAAAGATATCCGAATCTTATGGTATGTCACATGCCTGTCTGTTTTGATCATATGGCGCACAGCATCGAAGTTTTTGTTATTCACAGCAGTGGACGGGCGACCATCACGAAATTCGTCACTGAGATTCACACGACCACGTTTGAATTCTGCAAACCAGCTATAAATAGTCGTCTTGCATGGTGCTTCATCAGCAGTTTGAAGCCGAGCGAAGCTCCGCTGAGCTGTTCAATTATACTTAAATTCATAGAAAATCATACTACGAACATTTTTGCAAGTTAAATCCATGGTGATGTAGACAACCAATTTCTAAAATGACGCCACAATGTAAAAACAATTGACTTTTTAATTAAACGTAAATGATATGGAATACACTTTGAATCAAATTTGTGTGGATTCTGGAGCCGTGTCGTCTTTCTATACATTTTTATCTAACACTTAGCCATCAATTTTGTAATATGGATGCCTTACTAAAAGAGTGATTATTCAGGAGATGGCAAAACATTCTATTTATTTTTAATTTCTTATCAAGGGTGTTAATTTGGATGCACTACTTTAAGAATAGATAAAAAAAGCCAGTGTGTGCATATGAAGGAAATGTGAGCCTGCAAAATTTGTACACACGATCCATTTTTTGCATTTCAGTAACTTTGTGCTTTAAGATACGAGTTTGAGAAAGTAAGGCGATGATAGATCGATAGACGGTATATCATCAGATCAGAGACAGAGATAGACATAGACTTTTAAATCAAAATATTTTTAATGTAGTTTTTAAACTTAGGAAATAATAATCTTAATATATGCTCCGGAAATTATTGTGAAAACGTAAACAGTTCCCCATAACAGTGTCGTGTACCTTGGCTAAACGAAAGCCTTGATGGTCCACAGAACTAATTGCTCGTTTTTTGCAATTCATTTATGGTTTGAATATCTGGCGCTTTACCCCGTAGTACATTATACTGTGAAAGTAACTAAAGTAAACTAGTCTAGCAGTACTAACATCGGTAAGCTCACGTATTCTGCGGACTGCGTATGCAGCAGAGCTTAATATGCTCGCCAGGAGCGGAGCTTAATAGGCTTAATATATGTGGAAACCATTGAAGTTTAGTATCTAAGGTCACTCCCAAGAAGACTGCTTTATTAACAAGGTCTAATTTTTCTCCGTTTATTTATATGTTTGGACTAGTCGATTTTACGTTAGGTAATTCAAATTTAACACATTTTGTCTTCTTGGCATTAAGCAATAAATTGTTAGCATTAAACCAATAAACTACCTTAGAGAGGGTATCATTAATATGATCGTAGTTATTGTCATGCCTGTCTGCTTTAAAAATGAAGGATGTATCGTCAGCAAACAATATTATTTCACGATGGTCCTTAATAAAGAATGGCAGATCATTAATATAAATCAGAAATAAAAAGGTCAAGTATTGAGCCCTGCGGAACACCCATTTTTATCGGAGAACCCAAAGAAGTCATGCCATTTATGTCTACTTTCTGTATTCTACTGTTGAGATATGACGAGACAAGTTCCAACGCCTTGCCATTTACACCGTAATATTCCTTAGCTTCCTAATAAGACGAATATGGTCAACGCAATCAAATGCCTATTAGAGGTCACAGAAAACACCAATAGTTAACAATAGTTCTGGGACCTTTCCCAAGCATCAAAGATGTGTTTTAGTAACGCTACTCCCGCATCGTTAGTCGATCTACCACTAGTAAACCCGTATTGTTCAATATGAAAAATATGATTCCTACCGAAATAGGACAGTAATTGAGTCAGCATAACCTTTTCGAGTATTTTATTTAAAGCTGGTAAAATTGAAAGGGTCTATAGTTGCTAGGATCAAGTTGCGTACCATTTTTTAATAAGGGAATAACCTTGCTGTATTTCATTAAATCGAAAAACATCTTCGTTAACGCACCCATTGAAAGCTATAGCTAAATGTGGGGAAATTAGATCAATAACTGAATCTGTAACTTTAGTTGGTATGCCCCAGAGATCTTCAGGTTTTTAAACATGTATTGATTTAAAAGCTTTTATGATGTCTTGTGGGTTAACATGACGGAAATTATATAAACTGCCACAAATGATTAGACTTTTCTGTTGTCGTGTTTTTCAGTTTAAATTGGTCCCAACACTCCCAATAGTTTTTTTTAAATTTTCAATTTAAGTAAAACGATATATTAATTGAAAAAAAAAAAGGAAATATAGATAGAAGAGGTACATTATCGATAATTTTACCTTGCACGTAAGCTCGTGGAGTATCAAATGAAGACTTTATGAGGTTATAGATTTTCTTTCCCTTGTCTACATGATACTTGCTTATTATACGTCACCTTCATCCGTTTGAGTTCTTAGTTTTATCACAGGGATGATTTACGTTTGCAGTTTTTGTATTGATTTTTTTTAGTTTCTCGCCGGATCCTTTTTAAAGGATAAATGGACTGAAGCTACAGGCAGTAAAAGCTGAGTACTTACTAAATGTAGCACCATTTGCTATAGGCATTTTATGAAATCACATTATATTATATAATATATACATATGAATAACAACCGAAAAGTTCATTAACAAACAAATCAATTGATTAATCAATTAATTTGTTTGTTAATTAATAATATGACATGAAACTCAGAGTCGCCTTCACAAGTTATAGACCACATCTAAATGTAAAAAACATTTCTGAAGCACTGTCAGTTATTTTTCGGCAAGTTTTCATGAAACAAATGCTCTGCTTCTTCGCCTTCGGAAATAAGTATCTTCATTTTCTGGACATGCTTGTCGACGCTATGCGTGTTGTCATGTTCAGTCTGTTCAGAAAGAGGTAATTGTTGAACAAATATATCATATTTCAATGAGAATAAAGATTTCTAGTTCCATTTTCAAATGTTGTAATTACTTTTTTAATATTGTTTAATTGTAATAATAAAACCTTATTAGATTCAAATACGTTTCATTTTTTTTACCAAAAAATTTTTTATTGTCTAATTTCGTTTGATAATTTATAACCAATCAAAATTATGTTATCTTGGTACTTCCATACCACATAAGATTACGTTTTCAAATGTGTGCGTGTGGCGACACTGGTTTTGATACTAATGTTGCTTCATGACATTTCCATTCTTTTCTTTCTTCCGTGGCTCGATCTTTGTATTAATAATTATAACACACTAGTGGACTAATTTCCCAGAAAATAATTGAATATCATGGTGGTGAAACATCCTGAGATTCAGTAAAAAACATTGAAATAAATAGTTTTTATGTTTTCATTTTAGAGTTATACAATGCAATTACATCTTTTATTATACAAATTCAAAATAATTGAACTGCTGACACCGAAGACAGGAAGATAAGCATTATAAATAATTGCGATATTACACATATGCAAGGTATTATTAATTCAGGGTGTGATTGAAAGTGGAAATTAATGAAATAATTACAGCATATCAGTAGATTTCTATCTCCAAAAAGTCAATATAACTGAAGCGTTGGATTTGTTATGACGTGGTTTTAAAATGTTGCTCTTAATCAAACTATTCTTTGTATTTTTATATATCATCACTATTTATTCGGTACAGGTACCGGCAAACATCTTGAGCGTAGTGTAACGTAGTGGGGGAAATTTCGCGCATCTACACTTACGTGCATATAAAAGGGTTTAAAGATTATATTTAATCTTTTTTTTATTATTATAATACATACATATAGGTATGTTAGCATACTATTCTATATGTTAGTCTTTAAGCTATGCATTATATAGGTCACAGTTGCTTGATTTAAACATAAAATAAATATTATGCAAAGCGTTATATTACTGAGACCTCGTAGAAAAACAATTACTACTCTATTTTAAAATATAATTTTATGCATAAGTATAATTTTCATAGGGTATAATTTACTTCTCGCCCTCTTTCTACCGGGGTAGATAGAGGCAACAGCGCCTGCTACAGTAAGTCGGAGCGTTTAATTTCAGTAATAATTCGTCTACAGATCATCTTGAAAATTGGTTAACGTAGTAGGGGAAAGTTTGCATCTAAATTTACGTAGGTACGAATTAAGAGTATTCCGCATTATAATAAATAATATGAAAGCTTTATATTTCAGAGATTACATAAAATAAACAATTAATGCGGTATTTAAAAAAAAAACTTTATTCATAGGCTATAATTTACATTTACTTCACACCCTCTTCCCATCGGTCAATACAATCTTGCTAAACTTGTATGTGTAAGTACATAATTTATTATTATGGTAGGAAATCTATCCCTTCCATAAGGTCGAAACCAGTAAAACCAGAGCTGGTGCTGGGGGTTGGGTCAGTAAAAGCAGAGCTGGCCCTAGGGTTTGGCTCAGCAGAAGCAGAGCTGGTGCTAGGACTTTGTTCTTGAAAATCATCTTCGTAATCGCTGTCTTCATTTGAGTCACTGTCATCATCGACAGATATAATGAATTCATCAGTGACCACATCAACAACATGGTCACTTTTTATATATTGTGCCTCAATCTCCTTCACTTTTTGGCATAATTTTGCCCATTCGCTGGCACCCATTAACACAACTTTCTCCTTCACAAGCTCTATTACTGTGTTAATGTTCCAGCTTACATTTTTGCTACTAACATACCCTTTAATGGCTGCCCAAGCCATCTCTATTGGGTTGAGATCTGGATGGTACGGAGGTAAGCGAAGCACTGAATGATTGTGGTCAGCTAATATTTTGTCGATGCTAAATTTCTTGTGCTGCTCTTTACTTTTTTTTATTAAGTTATAAAGTTGGGGTTTAAACATATTTTCGTGGTACTGAATGCCCTTTTCTTGCAGCCATTTCTGCATATCTGCTTTTTTGGAATTTGCAGTTGGGGCGGGATTCGACTGTTTATTATGGTAGGATGCGTTATCAACTACTACGACCGAATTTGGTGGCATGTCCCTTTTATTTAAATATGAACAACAACTCGACAAACAATTATAACAACAAAACTCAACAATCCAAAAAACAATAACGAAAACTTTATAAGAAAAACAATAACGAATAACTTTTTGTGCACGGGAGTGTATGAGGAAGTCAGCGGGGACGTAGACGCACTGCGGGGCGCAAGGGCGACTGATCTACCAATCGCGCGCTCGATATGATTGTCCTCCCGCGTCGCTCCCCGCGCTTTCCACCATTGAGACCTAAAATTCGTTTCTGCGCATTCATAGCTTACGCTCAAGATGTTTGCCGGCAACTATAAGTGATTTAACAGCTGGAGTTCTTCACAGACAGAATCGGCTATAATTGATTTAAAATGATGTTTCTGAATGATATCTAATAAATTGTTCAACAAATCCAATCTTGCATATTTAGCATATTAAGATACCTAATAGTTAACATAATTCTATACAAAGGATGTAAGACAAGGTCTACCGAAAATTTGTATGAGACTTGTCAAGTTATGTCTCAGAGTGACGGGCGCAGTGGCAGTGACCCTCAAATTTTTGCGATTTAGGGTTCTGAGTGGCAACGCAACTGTTATGGACAGGCATGTAGCTTACCATAAGACGCACGACTTGTCCGTCCTGTCATCTCCTATTATTATTAATAATAATAATATTTTCTTAACTCTACCATATCATCGTATCTATGTATCGTATTCTCCTCTATGAGGGGAAGTTTGAAAGTGGCGCCAACGACGGAAAAGATGAGTAATAGGTTAGCGTGGTATGGACATGTCATGCGGAGGGAAGAATATCATGTGACGAGAAGCGTGTTAGATATGAGTGTGGAGGGAAATAAAGGGACAGGAAGGCCAAAGAAAAGATGCAAGGATTGTGTGAAAGATGACATGGATAAGAAAGGTATGGAAATGACGTCTGATATGGGAGAGTTGAAGAAAAATACATGTTGTGCCGACCCCACCTATTGTGAGGTATGGACAGAAAGAAGATATACCGTATTCTCCTCTTACAAATTATTTGACTCTAAACTGAATTAAAAAAAGTTACAAAATGTTTACACCTTATATAACCTTAGCTTTATGTCGGATTTTTTAACAAAAGTGCATAACACTCGATGGCTTCATTGATCAACGACTAGTCCTGCGGGTGCTAGATGAGGAAGTCCCAAGTTCGGTTTCTGGTACGACCGATTTAGAAGACGAATTTTTGTGAATTAGCTTAGGTCTGGTTGTTATAGGTTGTGTCAGAGTGAATTTCATAGATCTGGCATATTTATTACAAAGTCAAGTAAAATTTGCGTTACGTCAATTGTATACATGTTTTCAGGAGAGGTTCGATCAAGAAGGCGGAAAAATAGTTTATCAGAACAAGAAATATTGTAATTCGACAATTTTCACAAAACGACAATCGCGCAGTGCATTTTACTTGACGAGCACTAATGTTACTTTGAAAACTGAAATGAACAATAATGTCACGGTAAGCTTTGAATTAGATCTACAGCCTTACGTTCTCTATCAAACCATTACAATTCTGGAATTGGGTATGGATATCCACTACATAAATACACTTTTACTTCAATAGCGTTTGCTTTTGGCAGCGCGTTCGTCTGCAGCGATTGAGTCGTGATGTAGTGTGACTTAAGCAGCGGTACAATCGCGATGCAAATGCGATGCAGGTTTTTAGTGATTCAACATAAGCGATTAAATCGAACCGCGTATAAACCGCAAGTGTCGCGTTGCACTCGCGCGTTTATATCGCTGCAAATGTCGCCGTGTGTAACCGCACTTAGTAAAACGTTTTTAGAAAAATTACCTTAAAAATTTAAGCAAAGCATTATAATTATTTTTTTAAGATTTGGACATTTACAATTTCTTTTCCTTTTCATTTTTATGGACAGTTCATGTAAAACTTTGTCATGGCTGCGTTCTAGCAATAAGGACAAAAAGCTGGGGAAATGTAACTATACAAAAAGTATTGATATGCAAAAAATCGATCGTGTTCTTTACTTAATTTACGTGGCAATTTTTATTATTTATATGTCGAATATATTATCGTGAAATAGTAATTAGTATTAATCACGTATACCCGAACACTTGGAGTGATCACTTCAATGTGTGTGGACTATGGCTGACGTACGTCATTGGTTTAATTACGATATTTAGTGTCAATAATCTTTATCATCATCATTAACCCTTTTTTAAGTCTAACTGCTGGGTACGTGTCTCCTCTCAGGCGAGGGTTTTAGACCATAGTCCGTCACGTTGGTTCATCTGCCATGCGGGTTGGGATTTACGCAGGTTTTCCGAGGATTGTGACCCCTCTTCAACGTACAGGTTTCATCACCATATTCACCTTCACCGAAAAGCTCATGGCAAATTTTAATTAGATTTCGCCTAAATTCCGATAAATTCAGAACTCCGGATTCGAATTCTGCTTGAGCGGTGGTAGGTCAAACCAATTAGGTTCCCACAGCCTTTAATAATCTTCATATTTTATAATAAGAATGGTGTTTATTTTTGACGTGGATTTTGTAACAATTTCCAGTGTGTTATTGATTTTGCTAACGTGAAAGAGAAGTCGAAATCTATTACCATGGAACTAAAGTTATGTGACTTCATGAAATTGCCATGGATAAAGGAATGGTTTGACTCGTTTTCCAATATTCATCAATGTCCTATTCAGAGTGTAAGTTATTTTAAATCAATAAAGTATGTCTATAAATACATGTAAACAGCTTTCACTATGGTAATCTCTTTTTAAAAAGTGAAAACTAAGGGTGTCTTCAAATTAGACGCTTATAGAAGCGCTGCGATGGTGCGTCGGTGGCGCGGCTGCCGTGCCACTACTAATTTTCATAGAAGATCTAGTCTGCAAAAACAGTTCGCGCGTGGTGAGACTGTGGCGCTGCAGTTACGCTTCTAAACATTGTATGAAAATTAGTGTTAGTTTCGTAGTGTAGACACTACGAAAATAAAACAGGTGATGTTTTTTGTTTTTTAAGAGTACAATCACCATCATTATCATCAATTCGTTATACACCCACTGCAGGGGCACGGGTGTCCTCTAAGGAATTTAAGCCAATTTTCATTACGATGTTTTTCTTCATCGTTGGTGAGAGGAATTGCTACTAAGCACTCATAAATATACGCAATTTAGGTTAATAATAATTTAGAGATTCGAATCGTTAACCTCTCATTTGTCAAGAAAATATTTTCTCCCTAGACTACAACCCCTGAACAATCACCTCGCATAATCTGTGTTTTGACCAAACTAACACTTTTTATAACATTCTAAAAGCAGTGCAATTCCTTTGGATTTAACTTTGACCAAACGAATATTCAACAGTAATATGTAATACTGGAAAATAATAATAAAATTGTTTTTATTCTGGTATTATAATGATTTTTAGTACCATGACATATATATTTTTTTGTAAAATCACTCCACTAGTTATAATTGTTAATAGAAAGATCGAACACAAAGAAAAATTCCTTCCTCTGACCTGACAGGATACGAACCTGTGTCGGTGTCAAACCACGGCCACAAAACAGATCCTGTCAGTTCGTTTTTTCCGTTTTCGATCTATGTATTAATAATTGTAATGATAAAATAGTTTCTTTATCTCATCTCAACACATCAATAAATAAATATAAAAACTACTTCACAAATTATTTTACAACTTATTTAAAAAAATGTTTAGTAACAGACAATAGTGGTGGGAGATCACAAAAGGCCTGCAGACCTACAAAAAGGGCGGAATGTTTCTCAGCGCCGCTGATATTCTGCTACGACCTGGCAAAACCCACATATACTTCCAGTTAATTCTTCCAATCATTACTTGACACAAAATAACAAATTTTTTATTCTATATTCTTATTTATTTGCGTTCCATAATTTATAGTCAACAACACATCAAGTTATCCGAACACATCACACAGCACAGTCATCTTGTCCGAATATCACGATATCGAATATATCCGGTATGGCGTACTACAGGCTCTTCTTAGAGGGAACACATGCGAAGCAATGGGACGTATGGGGTTGCTTTGAGTGCGGCAGCCGTGCCGCTACTAATTTTCATACAAGATCTAGTCTGCAAAAGTAGTTAGCACGTGGCGCGACTGTGGCGCCACAGCCACGCTTCTAAACATTGTACAAAAATTAAAAGTAGCGCGGTTTCAGTGCCACAGTGGTATCACCGCAGCGCTTTTATAAGCGTCTAATGTTAAGGCGCCTTAAATTCCTATTCTGTACAAAATGTAGAATAATTCATGCAATCACTATGTATATATGCATAGTGATTGCATGAATTATTCTATAATATATTATATCATTCTGTATTTATAGTTAGTACTAGTTAAGATTATAATTGTTTCTTTTGTTTTCAGGGTACGTATTACGTCAAAGATTTTGAAGTACCACCAAAGAATTTTCCAATACGTTTACAAAAAGGCAATTATCGTGCGGTAGCAGGTTTTTACGCAACATCCAATAAAGCAAAGTTATTAATAATCGAAGTGGGATTGAGAATAAGAAATGGTCAAGTAAAGAAATAAAAGAAGAATAGTTAAAGAAGATGTATGTGTATTCTTTTCCCTAATATACCTTACCCCTAATATACCTTACCCCCATTTATACTTCCCACTGCTAGGCACGGGTCTCCTCTCCGGCGAAGGTTTAGGCCATAGTCCGCCACGCTAGTCCAATGCAGGTTGGGGACTTCACACGTTTCCTGAAGGTTGTGAGCATTCTTCGACGTGCAGTTTCCCCGAAAAATTTATGTGAGTGAGGTAAAAGTGTACATAATTCAACACTATAGAAACTAGTTTTCCATTTTTATTTGTACATTTTGGGTTTCTAGACAATTAGGGACAATTAATTTTACAAATAAATAACAAATTAGGAACATTAAGTGTATATATGTATACATGAAACAGGTTTTGAATTATAGAAGTTCAAAAATACCTTGAAAGGGTTCCTGTAATATA